TTATGATTTTAATTAATTAAGAGTAGAAAAACATTGTAAATATTTTTTTTATTAATAAAGTAAAATAACAATTAAGAGAGCAAATAGTAATATAGAAATATAACATATATAATTCAACTATTAATAATTAAATGAATTCCTTTATAAAACACTCATCCCCATAGCTTTGGCATATCCAAAGCAATTTGCTATATAAATAAATTGAGTCCTGCACAATTCACTTTAATAAATAATTGATATTTGAGTTATAGAAGTAAAAAATCAAAATTAAATAATTAAATAATGATACTTTCATCTTGCTGGACAAATATTATACAGATCTTTGACAAAACAAACAAAAAGCTCATCATATTACAGAAAGTATTAAATGAAATTTATAAAATAATTAATTCAATAACTTTTAAATTTTTATCAGAAAAAATTTTTTTTACTTTTAAGTAAAAATTTCTATAATAATATTAGTGCTTATAAACTTGCAAATTAATTTATTTTTCTGTATAAATTTAAAGTAAATTTTTTAATAAATCTGTTTAATAGAATGTAAATAGAACTAAAAATTACATACTTTTTAGAATTCTTGTAAATATTTAAAGCTTTACTCGAATTGTATTACTTTCTTGGTAATTATTTCTTATTTTGCAGTTATTATTGGATTTTACCTTTTTTAGTTAACTCTTATTGCATAGTCTTGAGTATTGTAGCATGATAAATATCTTATGATACAATAATTAGAATCAAATAATTTTAGTATTATTTGATTTGTTTTACTAAGACAAAATGAATAACAAAAATTAATTAATTCTAATCATGACTTAAGAAAAACTAGATATTATAGTGTGATTATTAAGTAAAAATGCTAATAAGTATGATGTATATACCTATGAGAGATGGATTTATATATAGTAAGAAATATATAAAAAGCTTCAATTTTGCTTTACATAAAGTCAATAATTGAAATCTAATTTAAATAGTTATAAATCCTTGGCTACTAAATAAAATTACATTGATTCTAGTAACAAACATACTATAAGCAAAATGAGCGATTCTGAATTTGTATTTATTGATTTCAAAGAATGCAATACTTTCAAAAAAAATAGTAAAGACTTTTTGATTGTAGATGAGAATGCTTTTGCAAGTGCTCTTAAAAATGTCTGACTTTTATTAAATGGTAATGTTGATTATGACTATGATGATGATAATGATAAAAATAATGATGAAAATAAT